GTAAACTGCCAAGAGGGGAAGGTGAGGGGAGGAGAGGGGAGGGTGAAAAAGAGAAAAAGGAGACAAGGATGGGGAAATGGTCACTGTTATATAGGTCATCAAGAACCCGCCATGTGAAATCTAAGTAAAGAGAAGACGAGCAGAGAGATCAAGACAGGAAAGGGTGCGAGTGCGGGAGTCCACATGAGTGGGTTCACCAGAATTCAGAAGAGACAGAGAAGAGAGAGGACGAACGGTTCAAGGCGGCGGCCTCGGGTGTTTGTCAGAGCATCGCCCCAGAGGGAATGTCGACTGTTAAAATCACCCAACAGGAGCACAGGTTCTGGTAAGGAGTCCAACAGGTGCTTAAGATCAGGAAGAGAAAGTGGGACATTCGGGGGAGATAAATGGAACAGACTGTGTAACATTTACTCACAAAGATACAAAGATACGGGCCGCAGAACATTGGAGAGGCGACGGAAAAAGTATGGGGGAGGAATGGAATATCAGATCAAATTAAGAGAGCAGTAGAGTTATGGGTCCCAGAGAAGATGGAGAAGCAGGAGGAGAACCCCGTGGTTCAGAACATAAGGGAACTGGGGAGGTGGAGGTGGGTGTGTTCGGGTCTAAGGCCTGGAAGCGGTTGTGGGACTGAGAAAGGAGGGAAGGACGAAGAGAGGTGGACCATAGAACACCAGCATAAGATATGTTAGTGACAGAGGAGTCATGGTGGACTTGGCGCCTCTCCTCAGGACAAGACAAGTGATCGTGGTGCTTCAAATTGAGGATGGCTTCCTTAAATTTGTAGTGTATACACTTGCGCGAGAAGGTAGGGTGGAGCGTCACTGCAATTGAGGCAGCAAGCCTGGGAAGAACAACACTCAGCTTTAGAGTGATCAGTCCCCCCACACATGGGGCATACACACACCACACTTGTGCATTTGAGGACACCGTGCCCAAATTTCCAGTACCTATTGCAAAGCCTAGGAGAGGGAATGTACTCCTGAACGGAGCATCTGGCACCAGCAAGAATTATAGGAGGCGGAAAGATCCTGCTATCAAAAGTGAATTTTACAACTCGAAGCGACTGACGACGACGACCACGAAGGAGTCGGGAGAACGTATCAGCCTGGAGAATAGAGTGGCCTTGGGCGTCCAGGATATGTTTAATATCCTCGTGGCAGTCTTTCAGTCCACGTGTTCGTTTTTCCCGAACACCAGTCGCAACATGGTGCGGGAAAATAACAGTGCCAATATTGGCATTTAACCGGGCATTTTTGGAGATCCTAACAGGGGTCTCTCCAATGCGGCTAAGTGGGTAGCTGTATCCCGAGAAGGAGCAGCAACGACCCGTGTACCAAATCAGGCGGGGTTCAAAGTAACAGAGGCATCCACCGAATCAACAAGGTGTTCATGGAGGAATAAATCGTCAGGGAGAGTAGAATCCATGAGTGAAATCAAAATCAAAGTATTTAGTCCATGTAGCAGGACCAAAGGTGTTGAACGCATCCCTAGTGAGAGCGGGGGGGAGGGGAGGTGGTAAAAGGTGCAGTTGTCACAATCAGAGAAGTAACCGCTCCAGGTGATGAGGTGATCACTACAGGGGGCTTGGAGCTCAACCCTATCACAGAGGAGGGAGGGAGGGAAGTAGAGGGGGAAAGTCAGGAGGGTCAAAGGAGTAGCTTGGTCTGGGGCCCAATGTAGTGAGGGCTACAGAGCCCGGTCTTCTAACACAGTCTGACTCGGGGGCTTGGTAGCCCACCCCACGAGCCTGAAAAGTTATAAGAGGATCATTCAGCAGCGAGGAGGTAATAATTTAATTCACAAATGAGCCCCCAAACCCACCATGGAGCCACAATTAGAGGATAGGACACCCAACAATTGACAGGCTTGGGCCCCCTAGGGGTGCATCGTGAGTATAAGCCCCACAATCGCCACCTACAGAACCATCAGTCCGTCGAGATCGGGTTCAGTAACGAAAGGAGGATTGACAATAAAAGCGTCCCCTCACTCACGACATTGGGTACCACAGTTCTATGGGTGAGAGAGTGCCTCCCCAAACACCCGGGCGTCAAAACAGAATTTGTCCGAAAGAATAATGAAGACTGGCAAAAGGTCGGCGGGAAAGACAATGAGAAAGGAGAAGAGGGGGGCAAAACGGAACATAAGTTAGAAGAAACAGTGACGAGCATAATTAGTGAAGACGGAAGCAGGAGCATAAAGCCGCAAAAGGGCAGAGAACTGTCCCATGGAGCATCACACTCGGGCAGCCGCCTACTGAGCCCCTTCACGACGACAACGGGCTGGAAAGGGCGGGGCACTTGGAATGCAAGTCCTCACAATGCATATTGCACTTGGAATACAAGCCCTAATGATGCATACTGTATATGTATACAAGCTCTCATAATACGTACTGTACATGTATACTGTACATGCCCCCACAATGCATACTGTACATGTATACCAGCCCTCATGATGAATACTGTACATGTATACCAGCCCCTCATGATGAATACTGTACATGTATACCAGCCCTCATGATGAATACTCTACATGTATACCAGCCCTCATGATGAATACTGTACATGTATACAAGCTCCTGCAATGCATACTGTACATGTATACCAGCCCTCATGATGAATACTGTACATGTATACCAGCCCTCATGATGCATACTGTACCGTACTGTCAAAGCATTGTCAAGTTGGCAGTGATACCAACAAATAAGCAGGGCGACCATAATATATGGTACAGTAATATAATTGTGGGGAATTTTGTTTATTTTATTATTTTTTGTTTATACAACATATCAAAGCCTAGATTTTCAACTACATTTTGGCCTTTATTTGAAAGAAATCGGTCAACTCTTGAATATTTGAATTACATTTTTAGCATGAAGAAAATCTTTAAATAATGGTGTTGCCAACTAGTATATATACTATATTTTTTTCTACAAAGATAAAACAGACTAAATATAAATCACTGGAAAGTATTTACAAAGTATATTATATATTGCAAACATATATGTTTGAAGATTTGTGACTATGCATTTTTGGTAGGAAAATTCCAACCTCAGAACACTAACTTTTAGGTTTTGGTTTGTTAATTTTAGTTTGTTAGTTGACCAGACGACATCATTTCGGCCCGTCCTGGACCATTCTCAAGTCGATTGTGAGAATGGTCCATTCACAATCGACTTGAGAATGATCCAGGATGGACCGAAACGTCGTCGTCCCTTCACCATCTAATGTCTGGTCTGGTCAACTTACTTTAGCCACGTTATTGTGACTCATCGCCTGCTTCAGTTTGTTAGTTTCATCCAATTTTGAAGACATTTTTACAAGTACACTACTTGGCAAGGTTTACATTTGTGATTTAACTTTCTTAAAAACCATTATTTTATGAAGGTAACATTTTTCGGACATATAAAATAAAAATTCTGAATAAAATTCAGAACTCAAAATTCCTTTATTTTTTTAATTACTGTACAGTACTAGGAAACATTAAAAATGTCCTCAAACACAACTATACATTATCTGATCTTTCCAATAATACCATCAAAATGACAATAAAATTTGTAAATCTGAAATGAGTTTGGAATTTTTTTTTAATTTGTGTGCATTATTTGTCAATTTTTGTTTAAACTAAGAATTTAACAACTATTACTATGTTTCAAGGCTAAATATTAATGTAAGGTAATAATTCGGAGAAAGAACCAAGCCATATAACGCTTGGAAGGGTTATGAAGGATTTAGGATAGGACAGAGGAAAGGAATGGTGCCCAATCACTTGCACAGTCATGAATTGAATGCCAACATACAAGAAGTGAAACTGTCACTATCATTCAGCCAAGTGATTGGGCATCTAAACATCAAAGAAATGTATATCTGAAAACGGTGTTCTGGAGTAAAGTTGACTATGGACCCTTAAGTCTCGGTAGAATATTATTTTTTTTTTTTTTTTTTTTTTTTTTTTTTTTTTGAGATATATACAAGAGTTGTTACATTCTTGTACAGCCACTAGTACGCGTAGCGTTTCGAGCAAGTCCTTAATCCTATGGTCCCTGGAATACGATCCCCTGCCGCGAAGAATCGTTTTTTCATCCAAGTACACATTTTACTGTTGCGTTAAACAGAGGCTACAGTTAAGGAATTGCGCCCAGTAAATCCTCCCCGGCCAGGATACGAACCCATGACATAGCGCTCGCGGAACGCCAGGCGAGTGTCTTACCACTACACCACGGAGACTGTGAATATGTGGTTACATTGTACAGCATGACAGTATCCAAGGACAAACAAATATTCAAAATTGCTCCATAGAAAAATAAATTGAAAACAACATACTGGATATGTTCTGTGATGTCCACTTAGACAAGTGGAACACATGACTAAGTTATTGAGCCAGGACTACTAGCAGACTTCATTATCGTGGCCAGTATCTTGAGGGGTTTGTAGCGAGTTACATCTTGCAGCATCTAGGTCATCGCTTACACATCCGGTGGGCCGATTATATAAGCAATCGACAAGCGAATAATCTTCAGTCTACTTTCAAGAGAGGTTCATTACAGATGCTCGAGAGATACCACACATCATTCACCCTCACCAACAACAATGTAGCACTCGGCGAGACCAGTTCCTACCAAGTCGGAGAGATTTCAGCTTTGACACAGTAGACAGCCAGACTCTGGCCTCATCAAGCTTCCACTCTCTCGTCCCGCACCGAGCTCCTCGTCTCCGCCCCGCATTCAGAGCGCCACACTCTACAACTCTCACTCAGTATCCGAGCTCTCTAGCCCCGGCCTCACTCGGCTCTCTACTCTGCTCCAGGCTTCGTCTCGACTTCTACGACACTGCCAACAAACTGACTGCTGTAACCAAGACTACTAAATAAAAGTCAAAACCATTAAACTCTGAGTCTAATCAAGCAAATAACATAATTGTATATTACAGGTTATATACAGTACTTACAATATCACATATACAATTGTGTATAGGCAAATAGCCATGTAAGTAATAAAGCAATTAAAATTTTTATCAATTTAATATACAGTTATGACATTCATTTCATTAACAGTAACAATATAATGAACTTAAACTCTACAATAGAATAAATAATGTACAGTATGCTGTTGCTTGTAACACATTACCCAAGTATTTGCTCACAACACACTGTGGAACAAGTTACACTTTAACTCATTGTTCAGGCAGAAGGAACATGGCCATAAAGTAATGTGTGACTTCATGGTTGACCAGAAAGAACACAGCCACAAAATTAAACTGACTGGGTGGTCAACCGCAAGGAACACGGACACAAAGTTATGCCATGAACACATGGTCGACCAAAAGGAACAAAGCCTCAAACTTATACCATGACTCTATGGTCGACCCGAAGAAACGTGGCCAAAGAGTTGTGTCACGAGTCCATGGTCGACCAGAAGGAAAACGGCCGCAAAGTTATGCCATGACTCCGTGGTCGACCAGAAAGAATAAGGCCACAAAAATCCACAGCACTTCTGCTATTTATTTTTCCTGCAACTTTTAAAGTTAATTTAATGAATTGTTCTTGAAAAGCCACAAAAACAATTTACTACTCCTTAAAAAACATTATAAATACTAGCACCTTATTTATTGAAAAAATGTTAGTTGTTGTTTATACAACTTTTCTAAAGAAAATTTCTGAAATGCATAATCAATTTGTAAGGCTCCAGCAAGATAAAATGAGCACAGTAGAAAATCTGAATTTGCAAGAAAAGTGAAGGAAAATAAGGTTTTTAAATAGTTAAAATTTACCATTTTGTCTATTTTAATGTTTTATTTGGCTTGTGTACTTTTCTACGCCAGTTACCTTATTATGATGGTATTTGGCCTTAAGACCGGGTATTTTATGTATGCATTAGATGGGAGTAGGTTGTCTCGCACAGACATGTGTACTATGAAGCACTCTACTCCATTTAATAATTACCATGCACAATAGGAAGCAGTGATGTGATAAAGCAGATGAATTATCAGTGCTAATCTAAACGCCTGCAGCAAGAATGTAGCTGAAGAGAGAAAATGACAAGGAGGCCTAAAAGTCACCAACATATTTAGGTCAAAGCAAAAACTAAAGTCTCGCCAAAAATTGGCAAGTAACTATACTGCAAAAATATGGGGCTATGTAAAGTTAAAGGCTGTGGTCAATAAAGTTCATCTAATCTGCATTAGTAAGAAAGTACCAAACAATTCAGTGGTGCCGAGTTCTTGAGATTCACTTCACACTTAAGAAATTTACAATAATCTCCAAATTTATATACAGTATTTGGTCAGTCCTACAATTCTTGAAGATAAGGGACATTCCAAGAAGTGGTCCCTAGGGACACCAGAAGGAACCTGCCACCAAAACAAGAAGGACCAGACCAAGCAGGGTCATGCGCAAGGGCAGATGGAGAAAACCGAAAAGGCGAGAAGAACTGAAGAACTAGCAGTGCGACAGGAGAACTAGTATAGATGAGACGCCTACCAATCACACAGCAATGGCCAAAGGAGCAAGAGAAGACAACCAACCCAAAAATCAAGACACCAAAAGGGGAGGGGGGGCAAAAATTATCTCCAACCTAACTAGCTGACCCCATTTGCTACAAATGGGGAAACTGTCGAGAGGAAGGAGCAGAAGCCAAAGGCAGCACCATGGTTTAAAAACCTGCACCACTGAACCTTCAGCAAAAACACAGGGCCGAGAGCCTGCAAAGACAACGTTGCAGCTAACAAAACAGAAGAAAATGCCACTCAAGAAAAGAGAGAGAGACTGGTTACAAATGGATAGATGGATACCTGGTAGAGGGAGCAAGCTGCAGCCAAAATGTGTGGGTTGCATTATTTCCTATCAGCCAAATTGTTGTGCCTTATTCTCTGTATATTACATTAATTTATGTTCTTCTGAAATATCAGTTCTTTTCTACAATGATCACCCTTCAATTGTCAAAGTGATTGGGCACCATTTCTCGACTTCCTCCTCCTATCACTTCCATGTGCAGTTATACTGTACTGGCTTAACACTTTCTCCTGATAATCATCTTACCCTTACCTGGCTGCAACATTTTACAACAGAAAATAATATTCAAACAAATAGTATTGAATCAAGCCTCTACACTTGCCTCAGATAAATCATACAAAACTAAACATTCAATATAATATAAACCACTAATTGAAAAACGTGAGTCCCAGTATAATGGAGGCACTTGTACCTCACCCTCGCAAGTCAACCCTTCACCACTTAATTGCCCATTATTTCCATAAACCTAATATCTCTATTGCACATAATGATTCTGTTTATGAACTATTTTGAAAAACTGTTAGGAAATGTTGGTACAGAATTAATAGAACATCCCCATGTACATTTTAAATAAAACGCAATTTACAGTAATTTCTCTATAGTAAAATAATTAGCTCCTCAAAATTTATCTGCCAATCCAAAAGACAAATTCAGTGTTAAATTAGACAAAAGTTCTCACCTCTCACTACTGCATGGGAAGTAGACAATATTAGTTTCAACTTTCTTGGGGAAAATGTCACAATAGTAAATACTGCAACCAATAAACTTTTCGGCACACAATGAATACAGAATTATTTCATTGCATAATGGCATTTATAAATACTAGGTAAATTGTTACTCGACTTCTGACTGGGACGGCTGCTTCAAGCGGTGCGTTCATCAACACCGACTAAGCAAAGGAAACTCATGTTCTTTCCCGAGACTCATCCTAAGTACACCTGCACAACTTCACACGCACGATATCATACAACACGTGCCGTGTTTATAAGTGTAGTGACTTCTGAATTCATGATAACGTATAGTACATACTAAAAACTGCTGCAAATCCTTAATTCTTTTAAGCAATTCAATTATATTCATTTGATCCAAGATACTGTATTAAGTTAAGAGCTCAGTGCCAACATCATCACTCGACACGACACCAAAGAAACAGGTGGCAGACCCAAAGGACCAGCTGTGAGCACTCACACCACCTTCCCCCATCACTGTCTCCCTCTCAACACACATTTGATATCAATGTACTATTTTCTTCACTTGTGAGGGTTGTGCTTTAGTCTGCCTAGAGGCTTACCTGCAACACATCTCATTACAGTTTAAAACAGCTTTGTAACAGGTGTGAACATCCTTGGAGAAAAAAAGCAAGAGTAAAAACACAATGTCTAAAATCACAGAAGGTTGATCACATTTTAGGAATCTTACAAGTGGGCTTCACATGTCACATGTCAATGAAGACTGATGGGTTCACACGGATGCTTCTAAATCTCTTTCGGAAAATCAACATTTTGCCTTTGACTTTCCACATACTGTAAAGTATTGAGTACAGTATTATTATATAGAATTTTCATATTTAGTTTACAATTTTTAAATGAGACAATGAGAGTGCTTTATGAAATCTCATTTTCTGTTACACCCGAGATTATTATATTAAAAACCTCTGTCCTCGGCTTTTGTAAACAAAAAAATGTAATATGACAATGTCAATGCCACTATTGTGGCTGCATGCAAGAGTAGCAGGCAGGCACAAAGCAGTCAGGTGTAGTCATACACAATGACAAAGAAAAATAATACTGAAAATTAAACTAAATTATGTTTTTTCATGCAAGTGTTCTGTAATTACAGGTATAAACATTTGATTCTTTTTCTAATAACTTAACAAAAAATATATATTTAAAAGTACAATACTATACAGACAGGTACAATTATAAATTTACTCCAAAATATTGATAATAACATTGATCTAACAAAGTTATTTGCCTAAAGTCCTAGAAAGTTGGCCAAGAGAAATGCACAGCACAATATTACAGCTGCCAGGATGGCCACCACCCACACAGGCACCATTCCTGAAACACAAACAGTAATTTGTCTTAATTAAAGTAATTAATAACACAAACAGCTTTGAAACACTAATTTCAAAGCGTTATATGACAAAGAGTGCCGGGGAGACGGGACACCACGAGCATAGCTCTCATCCCGTAACTACACATAGGTAATTACAAAGCATCCAATGAGCAACCATAGTGTACAGACTAAATTGTTATAGGGAAAGAGGAGGGATTAAGGTGACCAGCCCATAATATTTTATTAAGCCCACAATATTTAGTTATTTTGGTATACAGAATGTTTGTCAATCGAGTTCATGAGAAAAAATAAAATAATAAGCACACACATCAACACAGACATTCCAATATGTAATCAACACAATATTTACCACCTTGAAACTTAATGTATATCAGTATTAGTAATTACAATGATTCCCAATATTACCATAATTTGCTCAATTACAGTAACCAATTCAATCAAAATGACAGCTTGATGAAGCTCAGTGATGGCTTAATCAAGCACAGTGACTAAGCCGTCACTGTGCTTGATTAAGCCGTCACTGTGTTTGATTAAGCCGTCACTGTGCTTGATTAAGCCGTCACTGTGCTTGATTAAGCCGTCACTGTGCTTGATTAAGCCGTCACTGTGCTTGATTAAGCCGTCACTGTGCTTGACTAAGCCGTCACTGTGCTTGATTAAGCCGTCACTGTGTTTGATTAAGCCGTCACTGTGCTTGATTAAGCCGTCACTGTGCTTGATTAAGCCGTCACTGTGCTTGATTAAGCCGTCACTGTGCTTGATTAAGCCGTCACTGTTAGATTAAGACGTTACTGTGCTTGATTAAGCCATCACTGTGCTTGATTAACCCTTAAACTTCGCATGGGCTATATATACACCATGAGTAACATGTCCCACTGTGCACATGGCGAATATATACGCCACAGGGTGCCAGGCACGATTTAAATGGCTAACAGCATTGCTGTTCAGCTTGTGTCACGCAGGAGGTATGCCACAATGGTTACCCGAACCTTCTTAAGTGGGATACGGGAAGCCGAAAACCTCCAGAAGGCAGGGATCGAAGAACCCAAGGGAACCCGGGGAGGGACCGAACCCGTATCAAATTCGTGCAGGGAAGGTTGGGTAAGAAAACCCCTTCACCTGCAGCAACAAGCTCTGCTCCAAGGGCACTAACACCCAAGCGAGGTCAAACTGGGCCCAAGCGCCCCCAAGTTAACTCCTTCCCAGCCCCGGGATTCTCCACGTCAGGACCCGGGGCCGAGCCATCCTCCAAACCCTCCGCCCCTAAAGAAAAAACAGAGTCAACTGGAAAAGCTGGGAAAAGAGAGGTCTGATCCCCTGATCAGACCCCGAAGCCCCAGTTGGAGGAGCAGGCTCAAATGCCTCTGTCGCCAAACTGGAATCGGCAGCCCCCCGAGACCGCCAGTCTCTCGCCACCACCTAGACCCTGCCCAGACTCCAAAACCTCAGACGTTTGGGAGCCGGCAGCAGGGGGGAGTGGGGAAGCAGGACAAACATCATCAGTGGAAGGACAGGGGAGCATGGACGAAACCCAAGTCAAAGCAATTAATGCCCCCAGGTCTGGCTCCCTATACTGTACCGGGTACTGGGAGTACCCAGTACTTGTTGCCTGGTGAGGGTATGCCCCTTGGTTCTTATCCACCCTATGTTATTCTGGTGGTCCCCCACTTGGTCCCTGTGACTGTACGTGTCATAGGGGTTCACCGAGTTCAGCTCCATGACTGGGGCTAAACGACAAAGCCAGGCAGCCTCGGGGCATCCAGAAAGGCAACCAACCTAGTGTGTTGCAGCAACCAAACCGTGCATGCAACTCCGATGCTACCTGCACGTAATTATCTGCCCGAAACGCTTTGCGTAATAGTGGCTTTAGGCATTGTATGTACTAGCTCTATCTATAAAGCCAACAAACTTTGTAAAATCTCTTTATGTATGTACCTTTGCCTAAATAAAAATTATTATAATTATCAGTATCAATGGACTGGGTGAATTAGAGAACCAGCAGGGAACACCACTCGCAGGACTCGGTTTCGAAGGTGTAACCGACCCAACAGGCCGAAAGACGGAGGCAAAACCGGTGACTGTCACCCAGAGACAAGGGAACAGAGTACTGTTAACTGGTTGGCCCAAACTACTAAGAGATCAATTAAAGCTGAACCCCTATGACACGTACAATCACGGGGACCAAGTGGGGGACCACCGGAATGACATAGGGTGGATAAGAACCAGGGGGCATACCCCCCCCACCAGGCAACAAACGAAAAGAAAATGAAAAACCCTGCAAAAGGACGTCTACAGTAGGAACAGAACCAGCTGCGATGTAACAGTTGACAAGCTGCACAATACCTTGTGCCCCTACCAGCGACGATACAACTTCCTACCAAGGTCAAACTGCAGAAATGAAAACACTAGGTGACCCCAAGGGCAGGCAATCGCTGAGCAGCATAAGATCCATACGGAGGTAGTTCTCAAACGACTTGTGGAAAATAACCCCAAGCCACAAGGGCAGTACATACAGGGCACCTAGGGAAGGTGGCCCTAGATGCAAGCAGCCCCAGTACCCCGTGAATTGCTCCAGGGGGTCGCATACCACCACACAGCAGAACACCACCACCACAAAGACACAGCACTGCACAAAAACAGGAGCCAGAGTTGAACGATCGCCATGCAACATCTCAGCTTCAGTACTGGGGTTAGATGGCCGGTGCAAGGGGTCTGGGACTCCCCTCTTTTCCCTACTGGGGAGGGGGAAGCTGTGCAGAGCGAAGCAGCGGTGGTCGAGACTTCATACTTGTTTGCTTGTTTTCAGATTGTGGAGTTCTGCTTGATAGTTTGGTTTTCAATAGCAATTTTAACCAGGTGGAGTTTGTTTTGAGATGCCTACCTTTCTGGGTGCCTCACCCAGTAGATAGCAGACATAGAATGCTCCCAACCACATGGAGATTTCTATAGGCATTTGCTCCTCGTGCCTCTCTGAGGACCATGAGCCAGAACCTGGCTCGTGGTCCCCTGTAGGCAAGAACGCCATCGAATAGACCGATGCCACGGTCTAATACATACTTATCAACCCGGTAAGCTCTGGGGAGCCAGATGGGCTCTCCACAGGAAAGCTGTTTTTAGTATGTGTCAAAAGCCAAGGATCACTCAATTCATTAAACGGTCAAAATTCACGTTCATAGCTGAGGATTGTAAGAAAAGAATAAATGAAATAAAGCTAAGAGGTCACAGAGTGAAATTCATTACGACTCCATCTCATGTTGGAAGAGTGCTCAACGAGGTGGCTGATGAGCCGGTCAAATGTGCCACAATAATACTACAAGTTGACATTAAATGTGTTTAACCATGAAACAAACAGTTAAATAAAAAAATATGCAGGCACTGATGGCAGTGGCGAGAAGAGATATAATATACAAGAGAAGTCAAACTATGCAACACTACATGTAAGAGTCTAAACACCGATTTCACTTACAGAAGAAGGAAAACAGTTTATTACTGGGAATATGGATCAGGTGCTAACGATAATGAAACCAAGTGTAAACTATGCGGTATATTGAAGTCTCGCACCCTCACCCACCATGTTCTTGATTGTCCGCCGATTAATGTATATAGAAATACCAAGATAAGAACTGCTCCTGGACAAATAGACTGCATGTGTCACAATGGAAAGATTGATGATATTCTGGAGGAATATAATCATTTTGCACCAAGACTGTATCCTGTGTTGATTTGTCTGAATCTCTATTTATAGCCTCATTATTGTTATCTAAATTTATTTATTTGTACTTAACCATAAGTAGTATTTGTGTATACATATGGCATCATACTCCATGTGTACAGGAAGAAATGTACATGTTTATCAACCAGAATGTTCAGCACTGTGTTACTTGTGATGTGTGAATATATATGAATATGTTGCATTGAATGGGGTCAAAATACCTGAGCTACCTCATTCCTTTGTGTGTACAGTAATTTTCCCTCAACAAACTTATTTCACTTTCATTTTCACCACTCCCTGGAAAATCTAGATCATATAATTCCAGAACTCAATCTAGATTTCTGAAACACTGCAAATTTTGGGATATTACAAACATTTTCAAAATTTTCCACAAACTTTAAATGAAAATGAAATATGGAATTCTGTTTTAATTATACTTAATGGGGGTTTTCCCACAGCAGCAAATGTATATTCTAGTCACTAGTTTGACAAACTATAAAGAAATTGTAGTGTAGAGCCTTACCTTGCCTAGGAATGTGATATATTTTAAGGGAGTTGTCACAAGAAATAGAGAGAACAGAGGCATCAGAGAATCCTCGCACCATCTGTGATTCCTTGTTTTCTGTTGGCAGCCATTCTAACCCCGTAATAAACATGCTGTGAGCATCTTCTATTGTACGTAGTTGCTGAAAATATTCTCAAGGTTAGCAACAGTTTGGTATATTTCAGTTTTCAATACATTGTACTTACTACACTTTTATACTTGCCTTAACTTCCAATTTATAAATAACAATGTTAATCTTTGATGTTCTAAAAACTGTCTAAATCCTCTTTCCAAATTAAACAAAAGATAATTACTTTTACATATGTGTGTGTGTGTAGTGTATAATAAAAAGTGTTATACAGTTATGAATAAGTAACTACAAGAAAAAAAGAAATGAAGAGCTTGAGTGCTTTTATGTATTAGGCCAACACATTGTCAAAGAGCATCATTTCACTTACTCAGAAATTACAAATAGTGACGAGTAATAAAATGCCCTTTTGGGCTACACCTCAGCGCTTCCCTTCAGCTTATCACACTGGAAAAAGTTCTACCTCTTAGGGCCTGTGCTGTGCTGTTTCAGAGTCAACAGAAATTAGACAACTGAAAAAAAAGAGGGAAAGGTTTTCAATCAAATCCTGACCAGCGGACAGACCACAGGCAAAACTGAAGCACCAAAGAAGCTACAGAGTCCCTACTGGAAATGCCAATGCCAGTGGAGTACAAGATGAAAGTGTCAAAGTCAAAACACAAGACCGGGCAAAAAAACAAACACTCAAACGTTCCCAGACGAACAGACAGGTTAGAACAACTCAAAAGAAAGAACAAAACAGATATGGCAACGGGAGGATAAAAAAATCCAGGAGGCGGAGAAAGAACACCCCCAAAACATGAGCGCACACACTCCCAAGCACATGTAAACAAACCAACCGCAGCGCCGCTCTGGTAGCCAGGCAGGGAAGCGCCATAGAAAAGCAAAATGGCCACCAAAACAAAAGGAGATGCGGCTGATGCAAGGGAGTCAAAACACCAGCAAATGTGGGAAAACCAAAGCAGATGGGAAGGAGGGACGAAACCCTCCCCCCCTCCCCAAAGGCACAAGGCCCAAGCAGGAGCATATAGCCCCTGAAATGCTAGCGGGCTCCCCCCACAGTCCCCGGAACCCCCTTACAGAGGCCCCAGGGCAGAGCCGCCCTCCACCCTAGAAGAAAGAGTCCAAGGGAAAGGCAACAAGAAGGGGACCTGTTGATAAGGCCCAGAAGCCTCGGCAGGAGGAGCAGGCTCAAAGGCCTCTGTCCCCGCAAAGAATGGAGTAGCCCCTGGAGCCGCCAGAGTCTCATACTCAACTAAACCCCGCCTCAATTCCAAAACTCTCAGAGGTCAGGGAGCTGGCAGCAGGGGGAGGGGAGAGGAGGAGCAGTAGGGAAAGGACCAAAACAGCAGGGAAAGGACCAAAACAGCTTTCTTTTTTTCAGAAAGAAAGAGTTTCTTTCACCCTATGCCCCTGTTACCTAGCAGTAAAATAGGTACCTGGGTGTTAGTCAGCTGTCACGGGCTGCTTCCTGGGGGTGGAGGCCTGGTCGAGGACTGGGCCGCGGGGACACTAAAGCACCGAAATCATCTCAAGATAACCTCAAGATAACTATGATGCTAAGCTACTGGGGAAGATAGGAGATGCTGACGATTGTAATGCCCTTCAAATTGACCTATATAAATTAAGCGCTTAGAGCACCATGAGGCAAATCGAATTCAATGTGAATAAATGCCATGTTATGGAATATTATAGATGAAAATAGACCACAAACAACTTATAATTTATGTGGAAAGGAATTAAAGAATTCTAACAAAGAGAGATCTAGAGGTGGTTCTGGATAGTAGAATATCACCAGAGGAACACAAAGAAAATTGCAAGAGGAGTGCATGCGTTGCTTTCCAACTTCAGAAATGCTTTTAATTACATGGTTGGTGAAATACTAAAGAAACTGTTCATGACTTTTGTAAGACCAATATTGGAATATGCAGCAGCTGTATTGGTGCCCAAATTTCAAGAAGCACATCAATAAACTGGGAAAGGTGCAGAGGCATACTCCAAAATGGCTTCCGGAACTGAAAAACAAAAGTTATGAGGAAAGGCTAGAGACGTTAAAAATCAGAAGACAGAAGAAAAGGAGGTGATATGATCACTACTTACAAAATAATAATGGGAATTGACCAAATTGACACAGGAATTCCTGAAACCAGCAACTTCAGGAACAAGAAGTCATAGATTAGATTCAAGCTAAGGAAACAAAGGTGCCAAAAAAATATGAGAAAGTTTTTCTTTTGCAAACAGAGTGGTAGACGGTTGGAACAAGTTGATAAAACAGTGGGGGTCAAAACCATCAGTAGTTTCAAAGTGTTGTATGGCAAAGAGTACAGTACTGTACAGTGTACACACGTACATGTGTACACACATACACGTGAAAAGAAAATTACAAGCCGCCGACCAGTGGGCAGAGAGCACCACGCTGGCCAGGCGAAGAAGGCACAAAACAGCATCAAAAGGTGGAAGACGGGATATCACGAGCGGAGCTCTCATCCCGTAACTACATTTGGGTAGTTACAATGAGAGACAGAGCCTATAATTAATGGAATAAAATAATAAAGGTTATAAGCCCATATAAAACAGAAAGGTGAAAGTAAAATAGAAAGAATTTAGCTTAAACAATTAAATGTTACCAATGTCACAGCATTACAAAATATTGATTATGATCAGAGAACTGCATACCTGTAAACTAAAAGCAATCAAGATGTAAATTGTCCCACTCATCGTCCCAGTTGCAAGAAAACGACCATCATCACTGAGGGATAGACTACTCAACGAGCCCGGCAGATTCTGCGTCCGTTCTTGGGTATAAGTTCGACCGCACCATTTGGCAACAATTGCAGGATTTTTGGTCCCAACAACAGGGTTACTGATTGTGAAGAGGCGAGTCTTGTTGGGGTTGCTCTCCACGCTCCCGTATCTAATTAACAAATATCTTCAATTAGAATGGCAAAAAGTGTTTAGTTATTAAAACATTTAAAATGGAATTATAAACAACTGAAAATCTCTACTTTCATCCCATCCTTCCCTTCCTCCCATTTCACCCCATCATTCCCTGCCTCCCACCTCACCCTATCCTTCCCTTCCTCTCGTCTCATTTATCTCATGTCCTCCTCCCATCCCATCACGTCCCATCCCTGTCCTCATATTTCTTGCCTTCATTAATGCTGTTTTTCATAACTGTTTAAAATCCCCTTAGTGTCTCTGTTCATATATTGTATTGGTTTGTGCTCTCATTTTTGACGCAATATTCAAATTAGGTGGTAAATGTGTCGAGTGATGTCAAGTTAGACACAGTGTGACAAAGTGCTCACCATAACATCTACAAAGAATGTCCACACCACTTTACGTATAGATTGCACTAGTTTCTCAAATACACGACTCCCTACGTCACTGCCGCATCAATAACATGTGACCTTCAGTCAATACTCTTAGGTTCATTAACATTTTCCAACTGCAAGTTTACCGTCATTAAATTTGACAGTGTAAATGGAGAACATTTTGCATTTTACACCATTCAGTACTTCATAGACTAAAATGTAAATTACATCAATTACAAAAATTACAAGTAAACAAATTATTACAGAGTACAGTGGAGAATTATTATTACTACCTTTTGTCAATTTTGTGTAATTGTAGCAAACTTTTCTAAACATTTTCTAAACAAAAAATAAACATGTGCACATATACACACTTTTCAAACAGTGAACACAATGCTAGCCTTCAAAAATTCTCACCTGGCCCGAAAACATTTATATTTCACCCCATTTGTCTGTAGTGCTACCTGTGTAAATTTTTTCCCATCCTTCACGTTCCAGACGCAACACTCTCGGGTTGGCTTGCAGACAGACACCAGCTGCAAAATACACAAATGTTATACTAAATAAAGACAAATGAAAAAAAACAATAGATGAAATTAAAATAAAATAACTATACAGTATATTAATCTTTAAAGACCTACTGAAGCTCCTTTCACCTTCTCTCTCTATTATTATACACCAATAACAAGTTGGCAAGTACAGTAATAAAATAATATATAATAATAATTCATTGTGTCGGGGACAGGCAGCCAGAGTATATTTGTACACTTTAGGCTTATAGGTTCCCCCTCACCCCAAGGTTGAATTACAGACCCTGTCCAGGATGCTAGGTGACTTACTGCTAGGTGAACAGAGGCATTAGGTGATAGGAAATGTGTCCAACCATTTCTGTCCGATCCAGGACTTGAACCCAGAATTCTCGACTGTTCGTGGAGAACAAACCCGAGTGTACTACCGGGATCCCATGCCATTAGTACCTTATGAACCTTTAACGCCACTGCTGCCCTTAAATGTGAAGGTAGTAAATAGATGAAAATGAAACGATATGATTAACACACAAAAAATTGTGACAGGAATTGTCCAAGTTTTATTAGGAGGGATTTTTTAAAACAGCAACTTTGAGAACAAGTGGCTTAGATTCAAGTTAAGAAAACAAAGGTACAAAAAAGTTTTACAAAACTTTTTTCTTGTTAACATAGCAGTAGACAGATGAAATAAAGGTAGTGGATGCAAAACAGGTGAAAGCTTCAAACTGTCATGTGATGAAGATTATAAGGAATATGGGAGAGCAAGAGTTCAAGTACCATCCTGGAACTATATTTAGGTAGCTTCCTGTCACCAAAATAATAGTCACAGTTATGGCTGGTCAAGCTTCTCAATTAAATGCTTCTCAAATGCAGTCTCCGTGGTGTAGTGGTAAGACACTCGCCTGGCGTTCCGCGAGCGCTATGTCATGGGTTCGTATCCTGGCCGGGGAGGATTTACTGGGCGCAATTCCTTAACTGTAGCCTCTGTTTAACGCAACAGTAAAATGTATACTTGGATGAAAAAACGATTCTTCGCGGCAGGGGATCGTATTCAAGGGACCATAGGATTAAGGACTTGCCCGAAACGCTACGCATACTAGTGGCTGTACAAGAATGTAACAACTCTTGTATATATCTCAAAAAAAAAAAAAAATGTGCAAAGGACCTTCACTTCCATAATATTTATTTGCCGGGTAGTTAAAAATCACCTAAACTACTGGAAACACTTAAAATCCTTCGAAGTATATTGCCTGGAGAGCAGACGAGAAGATATATTATCAATCTACACCTGGAAAATGGAGAAAGTGGTTCCAGGTATACAAACTGAAATATTATAATCCTTTATGGGATCAGACACGGAGCAGAAAGTATAAAATAACCACAAAAGATAAATAAGGATGTAATAAGTACTAAAGATAACTGGAGACCATCACAAGGAAATCACAATGGCATGATATATCAATGAGGAAATAATTTTGGGGCAATGGACCAACTTGAACTAGCATTCTGGTGATTCCCAGACACCTGCCTTAACCCACTCAGCCATGATAGGACAAAAGACAACCAATCCAAAACTCTATTGAATTCACTGGGAGGTTCTGGACGCCCGAACTGGTGCCCAATCAGGATTTTCTGGGCGAGCCGCAAAAGGTTCCCTGAAGCTATATTACTGTTCAATTGCCATACTACTTGAGTGTCATCAGTTGCAGGGTCCTTCGTTGCCTACTGGGGACCATGAACTAGAACCTAGCCCCCCCCCCCTCAGAGAGGGGAAGGGAGCAATGACCCTGAACACTTTACATTTAAAGTGTGTCATCTTGCCAAGGACTGGGAAAGGACCCAGAAAGGTAGGCGAATCAAAACAGACCCCTGCCTGGTTGAAAAGTGCAACCTACATACTCACAAGCACAAAAGAATTCCCCCAGAAAGCAAAGAAACGAGCAAAACTTCGTCCAATTAACCCCCCCAACGCTCGTTAGCTAGGGGGAGGAGGAGTTGCCACCTTCCAGTTCTTTGACTGATATAGATGTGCTGAGTGGTCATTGCCGCTCTGGCTTCCTGTTACTGTTTTCTTTGATGTTTCGCCCTTGTGGCGGTGTTATGAAACGGATGTGCACATGTTGCCAGGAGCTTAGGGTACTCGAGCAGCATGCGTCTAGGGCCCCCCTCCCCTAAGTGCCCTGTAAGTACTGCCCTTGCATCTCAGGGTTATCTTCCTTGGGGCATTTGGGAAACAAATGCTTGTAGTTCTCCTCGCCTTCGGGCTTTCCGCCTTGCCCTGGTTAAGGATGTGTTTGCTAGTGGGGCGCACTGCAAGTAGCACAGCCCGCATTACTATCACGCGACGGCCGATGTATCTCTCAGGCTGCTAGTTTGTTTGCCTTGTGAGATTTCAGGGGTTTTCTTGTTTTCATTTTGGCATTTTTGCCTGTTGTGACAATGAAAGTCTGCCTAGCCCCTTCTGATGCGGGGCTCGGAGATGGTTGAACCCCTCTTTTCTGCCCAGGCTCCCAAGTTAATCCAGCTAACTCCCTTTCCCTTGGATTCTGCCTTTCATTATGGGGCAGTGGGCATGGATGAGGGCTATGTGGGAGTCTGCTTGGAGATTTTGGGTTCCTTTTGATCCTGCTTGGGCTCCTTTTGTCCCCGCTTGGGCTCTTGTGCCCTCTGCTCAGGGGTTTCTTCTGCAGTGATTTTCATATCCTCCTTCCCTTTGAGTGTGTTGGGTGCGGCTCCCAAGGTTCGTTTCCCAGGGCCTTTGGCCTTTTCCCCACCCTGCGCTCCTTTTGTGGGAATGCAGGGTGGGGAACCCTCGGCTGAGGTCTTGGTCTCTGCTGCTTCTGCGTCCTCTGCCTTACTGCTGCTGTTTGCGCCGATCCTCCACGAGGCAGTTTTCTATGTTTTCACCTCTCATCTCACGTGTAGACAGGCTCGATCTGTCGTTGGCTTTAGCTTGTGCCCTGGCATTTCCATCTTCTTCTCCGTTTTGTCCTCTGTTGTTCCCCGAGGACTATGTTGCTCAGTTTCTGTAGGCAGCTTCCGCCCGTTGCTGGCTTATTTCGGATTTGAAGGTTCTCTGGGTGGGTTGCTGCCGGCCCTCCTGTGTGGGTGGTGCTGTGGAGGATTCGGTTCCTCAGGTCTAGATGATCCAACTCCATTCAGTCTGCTTCCCTGTGGTTCCTTGTCTCTACCGGGGGTTGGGGTTTCTTCATTCTGTGTCCCTTTGAAGCTGGTCGCTTCAGGTGGCTCTCCTGATGAGTTCTGGGGGTTTAGCTCTCTGCACCATTCACATTCACGGAGTGTCTTATGTCCAGCCAGCAGGCCTGTTGCCCTTGTTTCTCTCCCATGGAGTGGATGGTCATCGCCATTTTTCTTTCTTTATCTTTGCTGGAGGTGGACCTCTTCACGTTGGCATGGTTTCGGCGGGCAACTCCTGTTGTTTGTGGCGCTGTTCCCCGACTGCAAGGTTCTAGCGGTGGATGCTTTTTGGCAGGACTGATTGCAGTGGGGGTTCCTGTACATCTTCCCCCCGGTCCAGCTGTTGCTCCGGGTTCTGGCTTGGTTGGAATCCTATCGGGGAAAAGTTCTTCTCCTCCTGTCCCCGTGATGGCCGGCCCAGCCTTGGTTTCAGGCGCTTCTTGCTCGGTGTCCAAACCTGGGCATTTTTCCATGGCTCTTCTTCTTCCGGGTGGTCGGACCGTTGAGGTATCTTGCTGGTTCGACTTCCTCTTCTGCGTTACATGTATGACCTTCTGACATGTCTCTCACAATTTGTTTGGTGATCAGGTGGCTTCTTTTATGGTGTCCCACCTGCTGTTTTTGTCTCGTCAACAGTATGCAATTTTTTTGGCGGTCTTTCCGCCTTTTTTTCTTTCTCTTCATCGGGTTTCGTCGATGTCGAACTGGGTTGTTTTGTCCTTTCTCACTTGGTTTTTCCTGGGTCTGCTTCTCATGCCAAATGCTGTCACTTCATGTTGTGCAGTGTTGGTGGGGCCACTGCAGCTTGCGTTCAGGGAGGATGTTCCTTCTGCTGCTTTCCACTAGCATTCACGTGCATTTTCACCTCGGGCCTGCTCTTGCACAGCATGAGCCTTCTTGGTCTTTGAGGGATCTTTCCATTCTTCTTCCCCTTTGCGGTGGTCCCTTCTATTTGTGCTTGTTTTGGTAAGTCGTTTTGTTCGTTGCTGCCGACTCCTCCTTTTCCGGTGAAGAATGAGGCAGCAGGATTCCGAGGGGATCTGTTGGTTGTGGATGCTTAGTTGGTTAGGCCGGTGGCGGCTTTACTGTGGGTCACCAGTTCCGTGTCAATGGCCATGCTCTGGGTTGATCAGGTTTTCCTAGTTTTCAGTTTTCATGTCTCTTTGGTTGTTTGTAGTTTCTTTAGGTTTCCCCAGGCTGTGGTTACCCCTCTTGCCTATGCTGTTTGGATGTGTGCTGCTCTTTCAGCTGTATTTGGATGGTTTTTGGCCACCGGGGGTTTTGGGGGGGTCGGTCTTGGTCCTGGCCTCCGGGTCTCTAGTGACCATCCAGGCCCTCTGCCACTTTGTGTTGCTTTGGGGTTTCTATGGGTGTCGGCTGTATTTATTGGGCTGTGTTGCTGTGTTTGTTTTGATGACGGCCGCCTCTGCGGGACTGCCACCTCTTGGGTTCTTCCTGTTTTCCTTCTCTGTGGGTAGTTAGCTTCAGGGAGCCAACAGGGCTCCCCACAGAAAACCAGCTTTAAATGTAATGAAACGCCAGTTTCTGGGCGAACCCTGGAGACTCCCTGACACCCTCCTTCCCATCGGCGGTTTTCATAATTCAAAGAACTGGGGGGTGGCGGCCCAACCTTCCCAGGCTGGCTCCTCCTCCCCCCTTGCAGGGAGGAGGGTGAAGCTAACAAGCAGAGAGGAGGGGGGGGGGGTGTTAGTTGGATGAAGTCTTCCTTGTTTGCTTTCTGGGGGAGTTCTTTTACACTTGTGAGGACGTAGGTCGCACTTTTCAACCAGGCAGGGGTCTGTTTTGATTCG